TGGGTTTTGCCTTTTCTGCCATGAGCCACTTGAACTGGATTTAGCACAGGGCACAATGGAGGCCCTGGTGGCTGTTGGCTTCAGGATGAAGTGTGTGACCCCAGTCCTGAAGGTATCACAGCGGCTCAGCCCCAGCCCAGAGCCTTCTTGGGAAGTGTGGGCCTGGAGAGATGAGGGGCTTTGGTGACTCCACCGTGCAAGGGCAGAGTCCTGGACTACACATAGCTGCCGGACGTCACGTGGATGCACGCATGCCCTGCAGACCAGGGCCGCTGCCCAACCCTATGGTGCCTCCATCTCGAGTCCCTAGATCTCTTCAACCCGGGGACGTGTGGAGCAGGCTTCCCACCTCCCCTGGCAGGGGCTTTATATTTCCCTTTGAAGGCTTTGCTCAGCCAGGGCTATGCCTGGCACACCCGCCTCTGCCACTGCCCCCGGAGACCTGCCTGCCGCCTGCACATGCAGTGCCCTCACAGAGTGCTCCTGGATATGACCCCTTGGCTGGGGGCGGGGCCTTTTCCCATGGAGCACTGCCTCTTCCTAACCTTGAGAGCTGCCTGCCTCGCCACAGGAGCTCAACTTGCTCTGAGCTGGGACCCTGGGGTGGTCTTCCTGTACTGGGCACAGGGCATGAGTGTACGGCCCTGACGCAGCGAGGAGCACTGGCTGAGAAGGAAGGAATAGCTGCGGGCAGGCCAGCCGCTTCGAGAGCACCTTGTGCCCATTCGCCCAGGCGTGGCGTGGTCTCTGCCCCTGGCCTCCACCCCCACCCCACGCAGGGGCCTGGCCCTTAATCAGAGTGATTATGGGGATTGCCCCTCTCTTTAAAGTACCTGCCTTCCCCTTTGAAAGTATTACTGACAGCTTTTCTCATTCTCTTTTTTCCTTACCTCTTTAAGTAACCCTGTAATTTCTTTCTTTCTTTCTCCCCCCTTTCCTTTTTCTTTCTTGTCCCCTCTGTCTCCCTGAACTCTTTGAAATTGGCTCTCTGCCTGCTAACACCAAACTGATACTTTGCATTTCACTTCTCCTTATCCCTTTATGGCAACAGATGTTGAAATTTTGTATCCTTTTATCTGCTGAGCTGCCCCTTCCTGTAATTACGGTCCCCTTGTTAGCAGTACAAAGTGGACTGCCCAGCCGCCTGGCCTTTGAGCCATTGTGTGGGAACATGTGTGCACGGTCGGGTGCTGGAGGTGCACGCACGCACACAGGAGTCCCCTTCTCTCTCACCTGGTGGGGCTGGGGTGAGGGATGTTCCCTGGGCTTCCCTTCCTCTCGCTCCTATCTCCTTCCATCTGGGACTGTCTGCTCCCTGGATTCTCCTGCTGGCTCCACTGGAGGGCCAGTCTCTGCACCTGGCAGGGCGGAAGGTGTGTGTGAGGCCCGAGGGAGGGTCTGCTGGGGAAGGGACTGTCCAGGGGACTGATGAGCCATGCTGCCTGAGTGCACTGTGCAGCAGGAAGACCTGAATTCACAGCTTGCTGGATATGGGGTCGCTGAGCTCTGGTTTATAAGGCAGGGCTGTGACACCTCAGGGAATCCCAACACTGATTCAGGAGGACCACGAGTTGAAGGTAGCCCAAGCTACACTGCAAGACCCTGTCTCAAAAACAGACACCTTCTAGGCCTGTCACGAGGGTCCCGTGAGCAGGTTCTGTGGGACCCTCTGCACACTGCCTGACACCCACAGGCTCCTCCAAGTGAGCTGCTACTGCCGGTAACCGCCTTGTCACCAGGTGCCTGGCCCAAGATAACGTACAAAAGAAGGTGCCTTTCGACCTCTCTGCTCCTGCCAGGTTGGCTGCTGCTGCCAGGTCGCTTTCTCAGCTCTGTGCTTTCCTGTTATATGACTGTAAGAGAGCTAATTCCTCTGTGACCCTTGGTTTCCTTTCCTGCGACTCAGGGCCAACCTGGGGATCACCGCTGTCAGGCCAGGTGAGGCCACGTGCCTGGAGGCACCGTGGGCTGCAGTCTGGGTCCCCTTACACTGCCAGCCTCCGCCAGTGCAGCCTGGTCACCTCTGCCCAGTCCTGTTGCTCACCACAGTCAGCCATTCCCCTCAGGCAGAAACGTCCCCGTCTATCCCCACAGAACTTTATCTCCCAATTGCAGTTTGCAGTCCCCACAGAAGTGGCGGTGGGTTGCCACTGTTTTGTCCAAATTTCCCTCCTGACTGACAGCAGGTTCCCCTCTCCTTCTTCCAGCCCCAGGTACCAGGGCAGCAGGGTAACTTGGACTAAGGTAGTGGTGCAGACCTATGGCACATGTGCCACAGGGCATGCAGGGTCCACTTTTTTGCCAGGTGAGCCAAGTTGCCCAAGCAGCCATGTGTTGGACATTCAGGTTTAATTGCATGTTGGCATTTTCCAATAAATAAGTAGCCTTGGGGTTGCAGTTTGGGCACGTGGTTCCTAAAGCTTTGCCATCACTGGGGTGGAGGACCAGAGAATCTTTCCAGAGACCACACAGCAGTGTGGCAGCACTGCATATGCTTCCTTTTGCCCAGGACAGGCTGCCCCACGAAGTGGGCTCATTCCTCAGACCCTGCAGAGTGCATCAGCGGGCAGCCCACCTGTCATGATCTTTCCCTGGGTCAAGAGCGAGTTGCTGGAGTTAGGCTTGTGCCGGCCGTCGCTCATCTCTGGGGAGGACTGAAGGGGCTGGAAGGGAAGGGACTTTTGTCTGGCCTGCACACTGTCTCAGCTAGGCGCTGGGTGGCAGCTCTGTTCCCACGCAAGCTGTGCAACAGCCGAGACTGTGCCCCTACTGCTAGAGCCGAGAGGCATTCTTAGCATTCTTTCCAGAGAAAAGGGGTGAAATGTCTGAATTTGGGGGTCACATTATACAAATTGCAATCTAATCGTTTTTACAAGAACATACTTGCAGTAAGAAAAGGAGCCCAGGAGGGGATGAGCGGATAGACAGCTGGTTTTGTCTCCTTCCCCATAAAGTTTGGGCTATTGTTGTTGGGCCAGTCTCTCCCTCCACCATAGCAGTGCAGCCAGTTTTCTAGTTAAATTGGGCCTGGAGTGGGGGCCTCTGAGAGACCACAGTGCCACTTCTGTTTGTTTTCCCCAATCAAAGCCACAGCAGGACTTCTGTGGCACTGCTGGGCCACTATTTGAAGAGACAGGCCATTTCCAGAGCCTGGTGTGTCCATTTATGCTCTGAACTTAACCTTACAAGCTCTGCAGCACGGAGCCTTGAGGGCCCTGGGCTGAGAGGTAAAAGAAATTGTATCCTTTTATTGGCCCATTTAAAGTGTGTGTGGCCATTTGAGAGCAGCACAGCGCCTGGCAGAAGCTCTGCAGCCAGCCCTCAGCCAGGCCAGGCCGGCAGACAAGGGGCACGTGGGGCTTGTTCTGACCCCCAGTGGGTGGTGCTGGGGGCCCTGCATCTCCCCCTGGGGACTGGACCCCTCGGGCTGGTCTGTTTCCTAGCAGTGGCTGGGATCAGGGCGGGCTTAGGCCAGCATCACAGTCTGGCTATGCCCCTTTGTACTGTGGAGCCTCGGCAGCTGCCGGTGTAGGTGCCCAGCTCTCCTTCCTGGGGAGCACTGGGACCAGGTGGGCAGGTAGCACCATGCTGTGCTCCTCCCCCCACTGCCTTTCATCTTCTGTTTCAAACAGACAAACATGAAATTACTTCTGCAGATTAAAGGGGACTCCTCCTCAATCATTCCTTATGGCCTCACTAATGGAGGGGGTAGGGCCCCAAAACCTAGAAGGCGAGGGAAGAGAACTGTGGAGAACAGCAGCCCCACCCCATATGTTCCAGTGTGTGTGTGTGCACTGTGAGGAGTCCAGGTCACACACCCACCCCCATGCTGTCCTAGAGCTGCTTGAGGAGCAAGGTGAGTAACCTCAGAACTCCCCTGGAGAGCCTGTCACCTCCACCTCCCCCTAGCAGCTGGCCACTGGCTTGAGGCCTGCCTAGACCTTGCCCTGCAGAGCAGTTGTGCTGCTGGCAGGGGAGAGGCCAGCTGGCCAGGTGGGCAGGAAGGGATCCCAGCCTGTGGGGAAGGTGACAGAGCCAGAGTCTGCGCACCGCACCGTGGGGGCCATGAGCCTCTGGTCTTTTGCTAAACACTGCTGTAGATGTGCTGTGGGGCCACGAAGTCCCCTTCACCCTGTATTGGGGCCTTACTTGAGGGTGTGATGTTCTTCCTGTCGTGGGCAGAGGAGGTTGAGGCAGGAGCCTAGAGGTGCCCCGTCCCCTCCATTCCCCCACCTTGCAGGAACCAGTACTTCTGCCTGTCCGCTCACCACAGGGATTACCGGGTGTACTTGATATTGAGGGGTAGTTGCTAGGGCTGGAGGCCCTCCTACATGGTTGCTAGGGGTCTGGCATGGGGCAAGGGGTCTGCCCACTGCCGCGGTCACGGAGGGAATTACAGTCACAAAGAAATTGTTCTTCTCAGTAATCTGCTCTCGACCACCGGGTGGGGTGAGGGTGGGGGAGCAGGCCAGAGCCCAGCAGGCCGGGGGCTGTGATCACAGAGGCGTGCTGGCCCCGGGCTGGGGGCCAGAGGGCCGGAACATCAGGGACCAACACACTAAGCTGCTTTCTCAGCAATTTCTCTCCCCAGACACAAAGGTGTTTGCTTGTTTTAACATCTCCTGGGACTCCCCTTCCCCCTTTGTGTGGTCTTTATTCCCAACGAGGTTTGAGCCCAGATTACAGGCAGGAATTAAGGCATTGGACTCAGGCAGCTCAGAACTGCATGACCTGCAGGATCAAGAAGCATAAACTGAGTGTGTGCACAGGAGGGGTTGACCCCTTCAGCAAGGTCCATTCATTGCTGAGTGGCTGTGGTGGGCGGCCTGTGTGCAGGTGTGAGGCAAGGGACTGCTGTGTCCAGCCCAGTGAGGCTTCAGTGGGGGCTGGCTGGGGTTGGGGTCTGTCCACTGCAGAAGGAAAGCCACGCGTCCCTGAGGTATGGTGCCATCTGCAGGCCAAAGTGGGCAGCCGCTCACCTCTGCCCTTGCCCTCCTCAGCGGGCAGCTGATGTCGCACCTGGGCAGTGACTTCCCCCCAGGAGCGGGGGTGCTGGATGTCATGTACGAATCCCCGTCCACACTGCTGTCCTGTGGCTATGATACCTACATCCGCTACTGGGATCTCCGAACCAGTACCCGGTGAGCATGCCACCTGGGAGGGCAGTGTGGGAGCCCAGTGCCAGTCCTGGGCGCAGAGCTCTCTGCTGGGCTGGGAGGGAAGGGTCCAACAAGGTCATGTCAAGCTAGGTGCCCCACTAGGGGCAGCCCTGGGCCGTGGCCTGGGAGACCAGCGCAAGCACTGCGCAGAGCACATCGCTGTGCAGAGCACATAGCTCGAGTTCAGGCCCAGCCTCCGAGGCGTTTGTTCCCAGCCTCCTTGTGACAGGGAGCTGGCCCTTGAAAGAAGCCCGTGTCTGCAGTGGTGGAGGGCTTGGGGAGTGGCCTTTACAGAAGGCACCCTCTCCTGTTAAGCTGGGTCGGTAAAAATGGTGACCTGGTGTGTGTGACCTCCCTACTGAGGTGGGAGCGGTGCAGCTCTAAGGCCAGCCCAGGCCACTCATCGGTGAGACCACCTCAAAATAAAAAAATACAGGGGCTAGCGTGGGAACGGAGCTCAGTGTGTACCTCCCCCCACCCAGGAGTCCAAGTCCCCCCCAACAGCGCCCCCCCCCGTAAGACCCCCCCCCCAACCTCCCTGCATCTGTGCCCCTCACAGGAAGTGTGTCATGGAGTGGGAGGAGCCCCACGACAGCACCCTCTACTGCCTGCAGACAGACGGCAACCACCTGCTGGCTACAGGCTCCTCCTACTATGGTGTCGTCCGGCTGTGGGACCGGCGCCAGAGGGCCTGCCTGCACGTGAGTGTCTTCTCACAGCATCGTGGTGCCAGGGTGTTCCGGAGAGGGCTGGAGGAGGCCTACAGTGGGTCAGGGCGCCCCAGTTCTCACTCGGAAAGCAGTCATTTCTTGTGCCCTCCCCTCCAGGCTTTCCCACTGACGTCAACGCCACTTAGCAGCCCTGTGTACTGCCTGCGGTTCACCACCACGCATCTCTATGCCGCACTCTCCTACAATCTCCACGTCCTGGACTTCAAAAACCCTTGACAGGCTGCCCCTGCCTGTGGGCTGGGAACCAGCAACTTGGAACCTCTTCTGCCCGCAGTGTGCGGGTATGCTTCCTGCCCTCCCCTGCTGTATTCCTGGACCTGTGGCCACAGTACTCGGGCACCTGAAGCTAGAGGCAAGGTCTCCTGGGCCTCTGGGGCCCTGGAGATGCAGGCACTGCTGGAGCCTGTGAGCAGACAGGACGTGCTAAACAAAGAGTCTGAGGGAAAGGCCAAGTACTCTGCAGGAGGGAAGGTGGGGCTGCCTTTGCAGTGGCACCAGCTGCCTCCCTAGACCCCTCCGTTTGACCAGCCTCAGGGCCTGGCTTTGCCTTGGGTTCTGAGCTTGCCCTCAGACTAACCTGGGGCACACGTTAGTAGGCTGTGAAAGCATGCTACTACCTTTCATTTCTGTAAAAATAAAGCTTGTTTCACAGATCTGGTTCTTCACTGGCCAAATCAGGCTGGGAGAAAAGCTGGAGCAGGCCAGTAGGACAAAATCAAACTCAGGCAGGCGTGTGCCAAGGAAAGCCCACTCTCGGCAGATTAACGCCTCAGCAGCCTGGAGCCATCCCAGTCTCCTTGGAACCCACCAGAGCTAGAAAGGTGGGTGGTCTGAGGGCAGTATTTCTGGAGACAGCCATCACCTGTGGCGACCCCACCCCAGTATGTGTGCACACACACAGCCTTGCAACACTGAGAGCCTTTCTCTGGCTTTTCACCCACAATATCAGTACCCAGAACTTCTCTTGCCCACGCCTACCTTCGGGAGCTTTCTCTGAGCCACTTGTACAGCCAAACTGGTGCGGGGCCCTTCTACCCAGATTCGCTCAAGAGCTCATACAGATGAGTTGGGCCTCTTCTTGAGGCAGAAGGCTTTATGTTGAAAGTCCTCAGGATGCAGAAGGGAAGGGCACACCTTCCCTCCCTGGGCAGGGAGTACAGAGCTGGACAGAAGGGCAGCCCATCTGCAGTAACTAAAAAAGACTTTACTCGGGAAGTGAAACGGGGAATGGGGCACTGGTGCTCCTGGGCCAGGTCTCACAGCTCCGGATGGCTCCAGGGAGATAGGAGGCTGCCACATGCCAGCAGGGCCAGGCCAGAGAGTGCTGTAGACTCCCCCACCCCGGAGGTGTAAGTAGGACCGGCTACTGAGTCTTGCAGTCTCCATCACTGCTGTGTGCAGTCTTGACCTTCTTCAGCTCCTTCTGTAGCTCTGACTCGGCTACCAAGATCTCCTTTGGCTTCTGATACTGTGGAAGCAGCAGAGCGAGGACGCCATTCAGTTGCACACTCACACTTAGACCCTTCTGACCCTCGTACTGTATGGGAGGAAACTGAGGCATGTGTGGCTGGGCAGGAGCCCTCCTTGGGCTCCTGATGCTGAGATTTCCACCAAGTCCCCACTTCCCTGTGCCCTTGTGCAGTTGTGGGCTGTGACCTAGCTGTGCCCTTCTGCCCCCTTTACTGGAGGTGTCTGAGCTCCACAGGCAGCCTGGGGTAGGGGCTCCCTGAGGACTGCGAAGTGGACAGGGAAAGAACCTTGACCCCATGTAGTTGCAGAGGAACACGGGTGAACCTTACAGAGATGATTAGGGTGCAGTTGGCATGAGCAAAGCTCAGCAAGGAGTCATCCAGGGGCAGCTGGTGTCTGTCTAGGTCAGGAACGGAGAACTTCTTGTAGTACCTGTCAGGACACCAAGAGGCCACTGACAGTTGGTACCAGACCCTTTGCCACCAAGTTTCTATACAGCCACTCCCCTACCCCCCATCATGTACCCAAGGCAGAAGGGAAAACAGAACAGCAGCCTTTTAGCCTGGTGGTTCTGGGGAAAAAAGGATGCCATCCGTATGGCCCATCTAGCACAGAAGTGCAGGATTGGTTAATGGTTCCACGGTGAGACCAGGGCTCCAAATCCCGAAGGTGAGCTCAGACAGCCTGGGCCTTCTCTGCACCCCGAGCTTTATGGACAACAATACAGGAGGTACATCCCAGCAAGTGACAATCAACACAGTATTTGGGATTACCCCCAAGGCTGGGCTCTGTGGGACTTCCACTGAAGCCCTCAGCTGCCTTTTTCTCTCCAGAGGTCTTGTAAAAGGCTTTGTTAGTCTGCCTCACGACTAGAGAGAAAGAACACCTGCAGTAGAGGTCTCCTTGGGAGGACAGACCCCAGGTGGCACCAAAGGTGCCTCACTTGCCTTTGGGCCACACCTCTCATCTCTACACACCAGCATGGTCTCTGTCCTCTTCAGATCCTGGCCAGGCATTGATGCCTTTTAGTAAAACAAACAAGCAAACAAAAGCAGAGCAACACCTAGCCTGAAATAGGCCAGTGGGCTTTCAGGGGACTCAAGCCCTTTGTCAAGGAGACAGTCTTACCCGCTTAGCAGCCAGGTGCGGGTTCCCAGTCAGGGTCAGTGGGCAGTTCCTGTCCCTGCCCAGTGCATCACTAACCGGAGGCCCACTTGGCATTTTCCATGGTGGATGTATGGCCTGCGCCCTGGCTGGGCTGCCAGGCCTGCTCCTGGCGAGGCATCCCTTCCTGCAGCAGAGATTGTGTGGGCTGCAGAGGGAAGCGCCTCAGGCAGGTACAAACTCGAGGAGCCTAGAAAGGATGGCTTTTAATACTTCACAGGGCCTGGTCCTTGTGGTGACAGCTACCTTGAGTCCACTTCAAAGGCCACAATGCCCTGAGGACTTGAGAGTTGACATCAATTCAGCACTTTTGCCCCCATCCTCCCTGCCCAAATCCCTCGGTTCAGTAGAGGTGCTGGGGCCCCTCTTCTCCCAGCTTCGACACTCTCTGCAAGGTGTTGGAACCCACGGCAGGAAAAGAATGTTTACTTAGAGGCTGACAGTTCAAAAGAATTGGGGGCTGGGGGGCCCTAATGGCACCACAAGTTGCTTTCTTTTCCAAAGCTCTGCCCCAGGGAAAGGCAATCCATCTGCCTGCTAGCCTGAGGAATGCTGCTGCATCCTCTCTCTAGCCAGCAAGGCAGGGCTCTTCCTGGGGCCCTTGATCTGGCCAGCAAAGGTGGCAGACACTGATAATAGGGGGGAGTCAAAGGTTAAACAGCAGAGATTAGGTGAACACAAAGGCTTGTTAGGAAGTGTTAACATCTTCCCTGCAAATATACACAAAAAGCAGAACCAGAAGAGAAGTAGCACCCACCCTAGCCTAGCCTAGCCTAGCCTAGCCTAGCCTAGCCTAGCCTAGCCTAGCCTAGCCTAGCCCAGGCGGGCCCAGCCCAGCCCAACCGTTTCCCAGACTGGGCCAGTCGGAAGGGCAGAGAGGCTCAGGGTTTGTTTGCCAGCATCAGGATCACAGGAAACTGAGGTGCATGGCTTGTCCTCTTTCCTTGTCCCACTCCTATCACCAGGCCCGGAGCAGAGGCAGCCAGGCCACAGACTCAGCTTGCTGATGGTCTATTGTCATGGATTTGGCTGTTGGGAGAGGTTAAACAACCAAAGACTCCAACAGCCTAAGATCCAGGGAGCAGGGATGGGATGGCTGTTTTCTCTCTCCTGAGGGGGTGGCCTGGCACCTCCCCTCTCTGCATCCTCCCGAGCCTTGGGGTTGCCAGGACAGGATCTGCACTTTCTCATTTTACCTGAGCACTAGGGGAACCTCGCTGTGTTTCTGAAAAATTAGAATCCTCAGCCTCAGGCAGCCCTAGGTAAGCAGGTAGTATTTCCTGGGCACCTACTGTGTCCTGAGCTGTGAGCTGGTGATTTTTTTTTTTTTTTTGTCTTTGTTTTTACCGGTACCAGGGATCGAACTCACGACTGCCTGCTTGCAAGGCAGGCACTTATGCCACTGAGCTAAATCCCCAGCCCCGAGCTGGTGATTTAAAGGTGGAAAAAGTGTCACCACTGTCGGCCTGCCTGCATAGACCTCCTTTTTGTTTCTGCTAAAAGCAAGGTAGTTAGTTCCCAGCTTCCCACAGACACCGACTCTGTCCACCTCTACTTCTTCACTATTCCCAGTCTCAGACAAAGTTGGGTGATACTTTTCCTGGTACTAGGGATGGAACCCAGGGCTTGACAACGCTAAACACATACTTGACCACTGAGCTACACTGCCAGTCCACAGCATTTCTTTCTTTCTTTTTTTTTCTTCCTTTCCTTTCCTTCCTTCCTTTTTGACATTTCTTAATTTAATGCTTATTCTGTGTGAAGCACAGCTCCACAGAGTTAATCCTCCAAATGACCCTCTTAGGTTGGTGACTCTTACTTTATCTTCTTTTGCAGAAGAGGAAACTGAAGCAAAGAGAGTTAGGTTTGCTGCACAAATCACTACACTGTTACAGGTCAAAGCCTTTACCAGCGAATCCCCAACTGGTCTAAATTCTCTAGCATGCTGAGCACCTTGAGTCCATGGGTACAGGGGCTGTGGGGGAAAGCAAGGGTGCTCTGGAGTGATGGCCTGGCTGCCCAGGGCATCCACCTCTGCAGGTCTGCTGGGCCCTCTCTCCAACTTGTCAGTGGCCATCCTTTCTCAGTGTCCTCAGTCTTCAAAAGACTTGCAGTGTGACTCCAGAGCCTGCAGGCTAATTCATTTCTGAGCCTCAGTGTCTTCTAAATTCCTTCCTTGAATCAGGGAGCTGCGGTAAATAAACTGTGAGCCACTGGCCAGGGTCCAGAACAGGTCAACTCTGAACCTCTTACTCCTCTGCCAAAGGACAGCTTGTTCATTCTGGCTACTTCAGAGATGGTCTCCTTCCTCCACCCCTCTCTCTCCTATCCCCTCCCCAACTCATGCCCCTCACCCAGCTCTCCATGGCCTCCACAGGCCCCTTAGCACGAATACCCTGGAGCAGGGCCTGGCCAGGCACAGAGCTGTCTGACAGCGCTGCTCTGCCCCACACACCTCTGCTCTGCACACTGTTGTGGCAGATGTAGGCCAAACAGCAGCAGCCAAATCTTCAGCCTCAAGGTTCTGGTCAAACGACCCTACCCAGTGCCCCTGCTCCAAGTCACAGTGCACACATGCCAGCTGTTGGGCCTACCCAAGGGAAGTCAGTGAGCCCTGTCCTGACTGTGTTTGACCACAAAATCCCTTTGTCTAGCAATGCCTGCTAACACCTCCATGGTGACACCCACCAGCAGTGTCTAATCAGCTGGGCCATCTTCAGATCCCAGTTTCCAGAAGACACTGAGGCTCTGCACCTGGGCAGCCTCATAGCCTGTGAGGGAGGTGTAGCCTGCTCCTAGGCCAGGTAAGGAAGCTTGCCAAGATACAAGCTCTACACGGCCAGGCCAGACTTAGGCCCACATTCCCTGCTCCAGCACCCTGACATCCCACTGCGGTGTCCGGTGTCCAGGAACTGTTGCTCCATGTGTTTTCATTAGGACCAGGTGGTGCTGGGCTCCTTCCCTGGTCATTCTGCACTACCTGAAGACAAGGCTATGATACACTAGAATCCATTCCTTCAAGCCCAGTGGCCAGCCCAGGTCTTCAGGGACAGGGCACTGTGGACAAAGCTACATTCTGGAGGGGGAGACAGGGGGGTCCAGGTAAAGAAAGGCTGGCTCAGGGAAAAGTGCTGTGACAAGGTGGACACTGGACACTGAAACCCCTACCCTGCCACCTCTGGATGGTGTGAAGATCAGAAAACAGATTACAAAAGAACCCTAAGAAGCCAGGCATGCATCCAGGAGTCTGAGGGAACTGCTGTGAGTTCGAGACCAGCCTGGGCTACAAAGTGAGTTCAGGCCCAGCCTGAACTACACATGAGACCCTGTCTCAAAAAGACCAAAAATAAATAAATACAAAGAACCCTGAGAAACTTTTAACCCTGCTCAGAGGATCAGCCATCGAGTCTTGTTCAATGACTTGATGTGAGGGATAGAATACATTACCCCAAGTAGAGGTGAGAACGCTAGCCTAAGGAAAGGTCTGGTTAGGGTGTGGGGGCCTCACCCACCTACCCCCATTACAAGGTCCTGCAGGGGCAGGGGCTGAGCCATCGGGCCACTATTAGTGTGTGCTCCGAAGAGGGCACTGACCACTGTAATCCCAGCACTCAGGAAGCTGAGGTAAGAGGAGTGGTGTGCGCTGGAGGCCAGCCTGGACTGCATAACAAGACCCTGTCTCAGAAAACAAAAACAAACAAACAAACAACAAAAAACCAGGCAATGAAATTCTCTTCTCCCCTTGTAAAGAGTGCTGTCCAGACTCCTGCCCTTGGGGCTGGAATGGGCATCCAGCCATGAAGCTCTGGGCCAACAGCGCCACCTACGGTCAGATGCGTGCAAGAGATGGGGCCCAGAGGACCTGCTCACCAATGAAGTTTTTGGTGAGCTAGCCTTTCTTCTGGCATTCCCTTGTAATCACATTTCTGCCTGATATCTGTATTCAACAGTGACCTCTGGGGGACAGAAAGGAGGCAGCAGCCAGCTCCATTAAGTGCTAAGCTGCAGATTCAAATGCTATCAGAAGCATTTTTGTTCCCAGTTTGGACCCAGGGCTTCTTACACCAGGGAATGCTTGCTGAATCACGGAGTTTGTTTTACTACAGGCAATTTCTCTGTTGTCTGAAATTGCTAAATTCCACTTTAGGCACTGACTCCTGTTAATGATGAGAACAATAATGGGAATAAACTGCCTTTTATCGAGGGCTTCAATGTGCTTTATAAATGCAAACCCTTATTATTATGACTTTATATTTATAGACAAGACCCACAGCAGGGGCCGCTGGCTGCATGTACAGCAATAATCTTGAAATTAATTCATTCATCTCCACCCGTTTCCCTGCCTCCTAACCCTGCCAAAGTGAGAGGGTATGGGGGGCACCAGAGAAGGGCAGAACCCAGGGCTGTACTAGAGAAACCTAAAAGTTGGCCTGCTTTCCTGTGGGCTCATGGACCTAAGGGAGAGGGAGAGGGACAGGAGGGTACAGGGCACACAGCACTTCCTAACTTAGGTTTGATAACTAAAACACTCCCACTTGCCAGGCCTGGTCAGGCTGAGATAGGAAGATTGCAGATTTGAGCCCAGCTTGGGCAGTTTAGTGGCTTAGTAAGATTCTATTTTAAAATTTAAATTTTTTTTTTTTTTTTTTTTTTTGTCTTTTTCCTTTTTATCGGTACCGGGGATTGAACTCAGGACTGCCTGCTTCCAAGGCAGGCGCTTATGCTACTGAGCTAAACCTCCAGCCCCTCTATTTTAAAATTTAAAAAATTTTAAAAGGACTGGGGATGTAGCTCAGTGTGAAGGCCCTGGGTTCAACCCTTGGTATCACCAATATAAAACCAAACCCCCAACTTTTCACTGCAGTACCCCAGCCACGCCTCATCATGCTAGGGCTCTTCCACAGTCAGAGCCCCAGGAACTCAAATGTGATCATCCTGGAGCCACCTTTGGTCCTTGTAACGCCCACGATTTGCCTTCCCCCAGCAGATCACAAAGGGAAGCTGAAGACCTTTCCCAGTAGAATGTGGGAGACTTCCAAGAAGCCAAAGCATCTGCCCACCGTCCCTTAATCCAGGGAGGGTCCAGGTTACTACTGCGCAGTCCAGTACAAGTCCCACCACTGCCACTTCAGCTGTGCTTCAGGTCATGGCTCCCTGCCAGCTCTGACAGTGATGTCACCAGGCCAAGCTCCCAATGGCTTAGATCCAGCCAGAGGTCACAGTCACAGTAGTCTCATAGCAGAACAACTCAAGATCATAAGCTAATGGCCATGATTCCTCAACCCCTTATTCATTCAGCAAACATTTACTGAGTCCACTCTGTGCTGGGTGCTGCTGTAGACATGCATTTCAGGTCCCCTACCCAGATGGAGCCCATTACCTTACTCAGGCTGCTTCTGCAGAGAAGCCCTCTGGCCTTCAGCCCTCGGCTGCTTTCCTCCCTCAGGCTAGAGGAAGAGGCGTTCTACCTGTCCAGGCCTGTGCACACACTGCTTACTTCTTGTTAGCTGTCCTGACGATGATGCAGCGCTCCTCTGGGGCCACACAGACGCTGTAGACATCCTTGGGGTAGGGGAGGTTCCGGATGCGCCACTGGAAGGTCCTCTTGGTATCCTTGCGCATGAAGATAGGCTATGGAAGGCAAACCCAACCCAAGAACCACTCTTGGGGAAGGAAGAGCAGGGATGTCTCCCACCTGCCCCAGAGCTCTACCAAGATTCAGATGGGAAGCCCTTGGCTCTCCATACTCCCCTTGGGCTGCAGCTTCTGGGACATTCCAGGCCAGGAGGCCTTGAGCTGGGACAGTGAGCGCTCAGACAGTGTCTGTGTCCGGGGGGACACACTGGAGGTGAGGGGTACCCAAATCATGGCCCCCGCCTCAGAGCCACAGCCTCCTGCCCAGGACCCCGGACGTACATTGGCACTGCTCTCCTTGATGAGCTCAGGGCTCAGGCTCCCTGCTCCAGGGGCCGCTGGCTCTCCCACTTCGAGCTGCCACTGGCCCAAGACTCCCAGGGCACTTCTTACACGCCACTTTCTCACTGGGGAGAGAAGTAATGGGATGACAGGGAAAACATGGTCTCTGCCATCCTGCTGCGCCACCAGCATCTCATGAGGCCCCTGCTGCATGACCAAAGTGGGAGCCTTGTGCATCTGTCCGCACAGCATGAGTCTGTGGCAGACAGCGCAGAGAAGCTTGAAGAAGCTCTGTGAGCAGTCCAGATGCCCTCCTGCGAGGAACAAGCCAGGGGAAAACTGAGGGCTAGGGACGGCTCCTGGTAATGGTGTATCTAGCTTTAAAAAAGAAGCTTGGAAACTACATTTAACCAAGTCTGGACTGCAGTGTAGCTCCATGGGACAGTCCTTACCCAGCAAGGTCCCATCCCGAGCACTGAAAAGTGAATGAAAAACAAACAAAAAAATCGGAGGCACACGTTGTATTTTAAATGCACTACTTATAAAAGGTCTGTGAATTTTTATAAAATGTTGTTCATTTGCAAATTTATAATGCAAGATATCTATTTTTCTTTTTGAAAATCCAGACATTTGCATAATATTTTTAAAAAGACACATACGAAGGGGCTGGGGATTTAGGTCAGCGGCACAAGTGCCTGCTTTGGAAGCAGGTAGCCCTGAGTTCGATCCCTGATACCGATAAAAACAAAGACACATACATTAAGAAAATTATAAACTGAAAAACTACAGTAGTTCAGTGGATATTACCTGGCAATTCTGCTGGGACCTCCAGGAAGCCTGTTCAGTCCTATCCTAGTAACTGCCTACTGTACGGAGGCCCCATTCCCTGGCTGCAGCCTGACCAGCGACCTGTGTAGCAGTGCAAGGAGCTGAACCCTTCTAAAAGTGCCTGCATGCAGCTGCCACTGTTTCCGCCTGCAGCTCTTTCCCTGGACAGGGCGAGCCAGGCGAACAGCACCAGGCCAGGCCGAGCATCAGGCAGGCAAGCAGCTACATCACCTCGTTGCTGCAAGCAAGGCACAGGAGCTATCTGTTACAAAAGAGAGCTGTAAAATTCAAACTTGCCCTTGAATGGGTGCTCTCATAAAGCCTGATGCATTTGGCAGTGTGATTTTATTTAGGGCAAAAACGTTCTCTCTAGAAATACAGTTTCAAGTTTACCAAGAAAATTAATAAGAGTAAAACTTGGAAATATATTTTATAGGTGACTTTTCCCCCATGAATATTTAATAGGCTGTGACCAAGAATATATATATATCCAAACCCATTTACTGTCGTACTTCTCTTAATTGTGAGTCACAAACTCAGAAGTGACAGATACTTCCAAGCAGCAGCCTGTGATGATGAGACCCATGTCCCCTGTTCATACCATAGGAAAGATCACTGTGGGTCCCCATTTGAATCATGAAGGAAATGCTGTGTACAGGCTGGGGGCAGAGGTGGTGCTTAGCATGTGAGGCCCTCAGTTCATTCTCTAAAACTGCAGCTATGTGTAAAACAAGCCAGGAAGCCAGGTATTATGGCACACTCTAGTAGGAGATTGAGGCGGGAGGACAACAAGTTTGAGCCCAGCCTGGGCAACTTAGTGAGACTTAGTGAGATCCAGCCTCAAAACATAAAACATAGCTGGGGATGTTGTTCAGTGTGAAGGCTCTGGATTCAATCCCTAGTACCACAAAGGAAAAGCAAAAGGCAGGAAGTTAATTTTTCCCTAGGCAAAATGACAAGTTATCAAAGCACAGCTCACATGGGAAGACAGAACTGCACATGACCGGGACGTCTGGGTGCTGGCGCACAGGCACCGTGGCCCCGAGAAGCGTCTCAGGACAACACAACGCAATCCCCAGGGGTAGGATGCACATTCCCTCAGAAAGCATCCAGTCCAGTGCTTGCATCTGTTCCCCCAATGCCTGCATTTTTAACACGAGAACTTGCATTGCTTTTCTGCCTGCTTACTTCCAAGCCTGCCACTACTTTTAGGAGACAGCATAAGGAAGTACCAACAAACAGAGGACATCGTTAAAATTCAGTTTTCCTCACCTCACATGCAGAATTTGAATCATTATTGAAAGGATAAACTACAATCTATAATTGTTCAACAAACATACATAATATTTGAAAGTATTTCTTTAAGTAGCCCTACTTCTTTTTTTTTACACTGGCCTTTAAAAGGCACAGCTAGCCAGGTATAGTGGTACACGCCCTTTTTTTTTTTTTTTTTTTTTTGTACCGGGGATGGAACTCACGACCACACTTGCCAGGCAATCCCTGGCTACACACCTTTAACACCAGCACTCAGGAGGCTGAGGCAGGAGGATCACTTGTGAGGTCAAGGCCAGCCTGGGCTACACAGTGAGTTCAAGGCAGGCCTGAACTGCATAGAGAGACCTTGTCTCCAAAAATCAAACAAACAAAAGGCAAAGCTTCAGTTATCTGAAAAAGTATTAATCACAGGAAAACTCCAGTCTTCAGGGGCCAGGACGCGAGGTGATGACCCCGTTATCACGAAGCGTGGTAAACTGGATGTCTAGAACTTTGTGCCAGTGCAGTCCCCAGAGGCAATAGCCACGCCAGGACTCCCAGCCACTCTTCCACTCTAAGGAATGGCTGGTCCCCAAACCTGCTGCTTCCTCATGTCTGGCCTCAGAAGGCACTCAGGTCACAGAAGTGTGGCACCTTGGCTGTTTCGTCTTTTTTAAGCGCCCTGGGAATTAAGCAATTTGTTGGAGTACTGCAGAAGAGTTTTCTTTCTCAGCCCTTCATGAATTCAGCCGGACCCAGTAACGACTCGGGCGAAGTCCTGTTTCCTCATGTGTGTGGCATGCACACACATGCAAACACACACTATGCCTTTTCTCGTTCCCGTCTTTGTTCCTGAACTCAAGGACAGCTCCTGTGGCAACAGAAGACTGCTTCCACCTGCTGTTGCTCTGATCTGATTACGTGCTAAAGCCAAACCATGGGCAAGGCAGCTCCCTGGGACCTGTCCTCTTTCGGCTGGGCCCTGGCGAGTCCTTGGGAAGGACATTTTCAACAACCCTGCACCGAGAATGACTGGGAGCGCAGGAGTAGCGCCTGGGGGCTTTTTCCTCAGTCAGGAGGAAGCACACGGATGCCCCAGACTGCTGCAAGGGCCTTATCTTTCAGGTGGGCTGAGAAGTAGAGGTCCGGGCGGCCTCTCCCCAAGCTCCAGGCTGGCCCACTTCCAAGGCAGATAATTACATCTCCCTTTACTAAACACTCCCTGCAGCCCAAAGTGGATGCAGGATTCTTCTTTTCTGCCCTGAAACCCTGCAACATTGCTATGTGGCTATTAAGCAGCTGCCGAGGCCCATCCCTGAGGAGGCTGAAGGGAATCGAGTGGGTCATTTATAAAGCTGCTGCGGTGCCTGGGGATGAAAGTGCTCAATATCCTCCAATGCTGAATGCAGCCTAGGGTGGGTAGGCTGGCGGTCAAATACCAAAGCAGATTAAGAGGTAATCCGAATGTAATCGCCAGGGAATGGCCTGCCCTGCAGCCTCTGCCCTCCAACACTGACACACTGTGTTCTTCCTGGGCTGGTTTGATGTTCCGATCATTGTTAGGGGGCCCTTCACTCTACTCCTCCATGAATACATACAGCATTCACTGCAGGGAGTGGGAGGGCAGAAAACATGACACTAACACGCTTATTAACACGTGCTAGAGGGGCTCTGTCCCAGAAAGACAGACACATGCCTAATGGCAATTCTTCCTCTGTAAATTACCTTCTGAGGGTCTGTAACAGAAAATTATCAAATTTGTATAGTTAGTTATAAAAATCAAAACTATTTCCACTTACTGCCACAAAAATCATGTCTAGATTTTACTTCATAGTATGTGCAAGCAAAAGCCAGCTTGGCCCCTGGATTATTTATACCTGAAAAGAAATAGCTGGGCACACTGATGCATGTCTGCAGTCCCGGCTAAGCAGGAGGCTGAGACAGGAGGATCACTTGAGCTCAGTAGCTCGAGGCCAGCCTGGGCTACATAGTAAAACCCTATCTCAATAAAATTAATAGAGGTAAGTATTTGGCAAGGGCAGTTGAGAGGTTTGGGGGAGAAAGAGTAAGAAATGGATCTACTGTCCACAGGCTGGGGCTCAGAGGCTGGAGAGGGGTCACTCCTCCTGGGCCATCCTATGCAAAGAAGTATTTAGTAAGAAGAAAGTAGGATCTAATAATTCTTCCTGCCAGCACAGCCCTTGGTCAGACAGAACAGTGCCTAGGTTTTGTGGCTTGGAAAATAACTAGCTATGTGAGTCTGAACAAGGTCTTTGGGCTTCTGTTCTTCCCACTGTAAAATGGGGACAATAGGACCTATGTCATAGGGCTTTAATGAGAAGACTACATGTGACCACTCCTGTAAAGCACTTGGCTTGCGGCCCAGTGGGAGTTAATGTCCTTGCCACATCTCCCACCAGCAGCAGGGCTTGCATTTCTGCTTGGACAGAAAGAGTTCGGAGCCCATGACTCACCCACCTGCCATTAGGAGGACAGGTTAATGTGGGCTACCGGGCACAGAGAGCTGCAGATGAATCTGGGCTGGTTTTAATTTTAACTTCACGTCCAAGGATAACAGAGAGGCCTAGGTTTTGTTTGTTTGCTTTTACAGTCACAGCAGTTAGAGCTGCAGTAGCTGCTCTGCTAAGGAAGGGAGGTGACCCTGGGGGCGGGACTGAGGAGCTGTGGCCAGTCCATGTCCCAGCTCTGGTGGTGCTTAGCCCATGTGACCCCTGCTTTCATGACTTCTCCCCTGTTAGGCATTCCACGGCTGTCACCCCCTGGGAGCACTATAAATTACAATGCAATCGTGAGGATATTACTACTGTATTGGTTTCCACCGAATCAGTGTCATATGCTAAACACATCAAGATTTTTAATAGCACCAGACTAAACCAATTGGGACCAGAGCCCAAGCAGCTCATAATAAGGAGGGATCAACACTTCACTCTGCAACTGAACATGCGCAGGACACACATTTTAAGGCTGGAGACTACCGGAATGCAAACCAGTGTAATCCACGTTGTCAGTTTGAGACATTTATGAGCTGTCAGAAAAAGGGAAAAAGAAATTCCCTCCCTAATACTACATGTCAATCAGGCCCAGGAAGAAATTAAAGTCAAGAATAATGACAAGGAAATAATGCAGCCCATGATTTAACCATTGGACTCAGCATTTCAGGTGCAGCTTAATAAAAAGACCAACTCCCACTGCTTCCAGCCTGAGGACTGGGGTCACAGAGCCGGCACCTCGCTCTGGGAAGCAGGTGATGCTGATGTGCGGACCTGGAAACAGAGCACAGACACGTCCAGCAGCTCCCAGGAACCCGAGCCTGCTCTCAGAGGGAAACGGCAGTGCCACACAATCGTGTCTGCCTTTGATTCACTCTTCAAGATGAGGGCTTTCCTGAAAAACGAGACTGAAGAGGACGTTAGGAAATGGAAGACACTTCTGCTCCTGTATAGGCAGATCCAACACTGTTAAAATGGCCATCCTTCCAAAACTGATACACAGATTTACTACAAGCCCAATCAAAATCCAACAACATTCCTCACAAAAGTAGAGAAAACAATCCTACAATTTATGTGGAACCAGGGAAGATTCAGATTAGCTAAAGCAATCCTAGTAACAAGACCAAAAACAGGAGGCATCACAATCCTAAATTTCAGGTTATATGACAAAGCTATGGTGATTAAAAAGAAAATACTAGCACAAAAAGATGACTAGACATGTAGATCAAAGGAGCAGAGGCTCAGAAACAACTCCAGCAACAACCCAAGACACATTCAGCCACCTGATTGTTGACAGAGGGGCCAAAAACAAACACTGGAGGAAAGATGGCCTCTTTAGCAAATGGTGGGAGGAGACCTGGCTTTCCACATGCAGAAGATCTAGAACCATCTCTCCCACCTCGTACTAAACTAAAATAAAAATGGGTCAAAGAGGTAAACATTAAAACAAATGCTCTTAACCTGTTGGAAGGTGAGGCAGGTAAAACTCTTGAAGTCATAGGCATAAGTAAGGACTTTCTAACAGAACCCCAATTGTATAAGAAATAACATCTAGAATCAACAAATGTGCACAAAAAAACCCAAAAAGCAAACAAAAGAAAACCCAATAGAGTAAAGAGATAACCCATACAATGGGGAAAAAAATATACCAGCTACCCCTCAAAAGGCTAACATCCAGAATATATAGATAAATCAGAAAAACCAGATCCTCTCAAATTAAAGACTCAATCCAAAAATGGGCATCCGAAATTAATAGGCATTTTGCATATGAAGAGATACAAAAAACAAATATATGAAAAAATGTTCAACATTGCTATCATGGGTCATTTGAGAGATGCAAATTAAAACAACACTGAGATTCCATCTCACTCCAGAAAGAATGGCTGCCATTCAGAAATCAATCAATAACAAGTGCTAACGAGGCTGAAGGGAAAAAGGAACCCTCTCCATTGCTGATGGGAATGTAAACTGGTTCAATCACTATGAAAGTCAATATGGAGTTCTCCTGAAAACTAAAACTAGAAGTTCCATTTGACCCAGCTGTTCCCCTTCTAGGTATGCCCCAAGAGAGTGAAAAGCTTCGCAGCACAGCAGTATATGCACATCATGTTTGCAGCTGCACAACCTGTAAGAGCCAGGTCTCAGGAGCAGCCCGTGTCCACCAATAGATGAATGGACAAAGAAAATATGCTATTCATAGACAACGGAGTACAGCTCCGCCATAAAGAAAGATGTGCTGGAGTGCTTCATGGGGATACCTCAAGACCTCAGTTTGAAGTGAAATAACATGACATTTAAATACTGCACTGTTTCTCATGTGTGAGAAACTCCAAGGGAAAATATGGAGCAAAGTGAAGAGGGCATGGAGAAATAGGGAGAACAAGCTCGAGAGGGAAGGGAAGCACGGGTAGAGGGAGGGAAAAGGGAAGGAAAGGAAATGCGGGGAGGAGAATGGAAGGGAAAACGGAAACAAAGCTTTCATAAGTGGGAAAGAGAAGAAGGGGTGGAGGGAGGGGAAGAATGGGGAGAACGCATTGAGACACACCATGCCCATCCCCATGATGAATGTGATCATTAATTATGTGTGGGGGGCGTACTAATTAAACAACAAAAGAATCAACAAGTGGGATCCTACCAAATTAAAATCTTCTACACACACAGGAAACAAGGAGCGAAGAAGAGACAACCTACCAACGGAAAAGAAACCACCAGCTACTCAGACAGAGGATTAGTATCTGCAATACAGAAGGAACTAAAGAAAGGCCCAAATAGGCAACTGAAATGAACAGATGCTTCGCAGAAGGGGCGCAAATGGCCAGAAGTGCATGGAAAATGGTCAGCAGCTCTGGCCATTAGAGAAATGCACACTAATGCAGCACTGAGATTCTACTTTACTCCAGAAAGAATTACTCCAGTTGTCATCAAGAATCCAAACAGTAACAAACACTGGTGAGGCTGCGGGGAAAGGATGCCTTCTACACTTGTTAAGAATTAACTAGTGTATTATGGAAATTGGTGGGAAGGTTCCTCAAAAAATAGAAATTCTGTTTGACCCAGCTATTCCCTTTCCAGGCACACCTCCTGAGAGAAACACATCATGTTACCGTGATACATGCACACCCATTTACAGTAGCACAATTCATAACAGCTACATTGTAGAAGTGACCTACATGTCTATCACCAGTGAACAGATAAAGAAAATATGGCGTTTACACACAATGGAGTAATATTCTGCCATAAAGACAGATAACATTAAGTCATCTGTAGGAAAACAAATGTGCCCTGAATCCATCATGGTAACTGAAATACATTGGACACACAAGATTAAAAAAACACAGTTTCTCTTATATGCAATGCCTGAAGTATAAGTAAAACAGCAAAATACACACTAGACAATAAGAAACAGGGAGACAAGGGCTGGGGATGTAGCTCAGTGGTGTAAGCACTTGCCTGGCAAGCACAAGGCAGTGTGTTCAATCCATGGTACAAAAAAAAAAAAAAAAAAAAAAAAAAAAGAAAAGAAATAGGGAGACAGATCTTTGCCAAATGGGAAGGGAACTAAGAACTGCTGAAGGGGGTGTAAAAAGAATTAAAATTTTTATGTTTCAACTATCCACAATGAATCCACTATGTACCAAAGACATGTATTAACAAAAACTAATAGTAATAATAAAATGAGAATTTTGTCTTGCTTTTTCGAAGTATTGGGGATCGAACCCAGAGACTTGAGCATGCTGGCAAGGTCCTCAGGGAGCTGCACACCCCCCATCCCTTTTAAGTTTCATTTTGAGACAGTTTTACTAAGGTGCCCTGGCTGCCCTTAAACTTCTGATGCTCCTGCCCAGCCCCGGGGGGCTGGGGTGCAGGCAGGCAGTGGGAGGCCTGCTGAGGGCACAGACAAACAGTGTTGCTTCGAGCTGAGGCGAGGTCAGAAGCTGCTGCCTGTGAAGCAGCTCCAGAAAATAAACCAGAAGCGAGAGCCACAGCTACGCTATGGATCCCTCCACACCGCCCTGTCTGCGGCCTCCATCCCGAATCCCCACTGGGACGAACCTCCATCCTGTCCTCCTCTGAGGGAGGTGATGGCTTCACTGGCCACAAGGGCTCTCATCTTACTCCCAGGATTGTCCTGCCTGAGTTGCCTCAGTCTCTTCAGCTTCTGTGTTTCCTGTTGGGATCTCCCCACCCTAGGGCTAGAAACATCCCTACAGGCTCCGATGGATCGGAGCAGCAGCCACTTACCGAGCAGTTCGCTCGTCTTCTCGTCGTATTCTTCAGCCATTTCCTTCCCGTCTGGGAACAAGTAATGCACCTTTCTTCTTCCTACACGCAAAGCAGAGGGCAGCGCAGCTCAGAGCATTCCTTCCTCTTGCCTTTGCTGAAGGAGGTGCCTTACACGGGGACAGGGAGCATAGCGCTTCGCACCAACTCTGACAGCCATCACCCACTGCTACTACAAGCCGCGCGCCTGAGCTCACTCGTTCCCGAGCCTCAGAGCAGAGCTGCTTCACCTCAGAGTCACACTTCTTCCCATCTGCAGCATCCCTTGCCCCTCGAAATCCAGCTCACCTGTCACTTCCACTGTGAAGTCTCCCTTAACTATCACCTCCAGCAACCTTGATAGAATGAATCCCTTCCCTTCCTACCACTTTTTTCACCTCCACAGTCAGGCATTTATCACATAGTATGACATTTTTAAAGGCATTCAATGTGACCATCAAACATCTGTCTTTCCTTGGTTTCTAGAACCAGACTACATGCTCAGGACCTCAAACAGGGCATCCAGAGCCAGAATGTCTCTCCAGCACTCACTGCTTGGTCTTCTTCCGCGTATCTGTAGGCCTTTCTTGTATTTTCCTTTATTTATTGCTTATTTTTTATTTTTTGTCTTTTTCCTTTTTATCGGTACCGGGGATCGAACTCATGACTGCCTGCTTGCAAGGCAGGCGCTTATGCCGCTGAGCTAAATCCCCAGCCCCTATTGCTTATTTTTTTAGACAGGCTCTTGCCATGTAGTTCAGACTGGCCTCGAATTACAGCAACCCTCCTGCCTCAGCATCCCAAATTGCTGGGATTACAGGGCATGTGTCACCATGGCAGGTTTCTGGGCCATCCTTGAAAGAATAAACATGGATACACCACATCCACTGAAAGAACAGACCAGGCTAAGGAAGTCACCTAGCCCAACTCCTCTTCCCATGCAGTATAATCAGTAGCATTTGCTTAATGGCTGTGTCATTTCTATCTCCTCTCTGCAGATGAGTTAGTAGATACAGGGAGGCTACTCAGAGACTAAACAAATGGCAATAATGCTTACTAGATTCGTACCCCAGATAAGGTGCAAGAGTAAGAGCCCTAGGGTGGCTTTTTCTGATCCAAGTCACTACTCTGGGACACAGTTCCCTTGCTTCGTTCCTAATTTATATTTCAGGAAAATTCACCCCAAATATGAAGAGCCTCTGGGTAAATTCCTAAGATCCCTCACACTAAACCATCTGATGTTCCCAAGAGCTAAAAGGAGTTTTCCTGACAAGGAAGGGGTACATGGTGCAGCTGGTGAGCAGCTGAGGGGGGTCTGGCCCAAGCATCCTTTCTTCTTGGTATCCAGTCTTGTGTTCAGGCAGAACGCAGCACCTATTGTCACCTGGGCAAATCACATGTTCCATCAAATTTTAGTCTATAATTATCCAACATGCCTCCTGTATTTTACAGATGAGGAAAAAATTGAGACATAAAGTGCAGGACACTTGTCCGGTAGGGCAGGGACAGAGCTCAGTAATGCAGCGCCAGCCTGGCAGGCACAAAGTCCCCCATACCCCCCAAGAAAGAAAGAAAACAAAAAACAAAAAACAGAAAGAAACTTGTCTGAGACTGTAAAGCTAGGAAAAAACAGACAGGGACTTAAATTCTTTTGGGATCAAAGTCCAGGTTTTAATAACCGTACCAGAATGATGTGTACGGCTTTCAATAACTGTAAAGTTAAATATTGTTCCAATGGTTTACTGGACATTTTTCAGTGAGTCACCTGTTTATGTCCCTGTACCTCTAGGAGGGCAAGTCTACAGGTGATTTCACAAAGCATATCCACATATTCAATGCTATCTTGTTTTTTTGGTTTGAAAAAAATCTTAACATCACTTTTGATGCTATAAACAAAAGAATTTAATCCATCCTAGCTGGTGAAGTATTTGTTTAGGCTGGACATGGTAGCACACACCTGTAATCCCAGCACTTAGGAGGCTGAGGCAGGAGGATCACTATGTTTGAGGCTAGCCTGAGTTACATAATGAGACCCTGTCTCAAAAAAAAAAAAAAAAAAAAAAAAAGAAACATTTGTTTAAATGCTATCCTGTGGCCAAAAGCAGTAAAAGTGGGGACTTAAATAGATATTTGGACATTTGTATTCACACCATTAGTCACAATATTCAAAAGGTGGAAGCCACTCAAGTGTCTGCCAATGCATGAATAAAATGAAATATTACACACACACAGAGTGAGGATATTATTCAACTGTAAAAAGGATATTCTGACATATGCTAAAAGATAAATCTTGAAGACATTATACCATGTGAAACAAGCCAGTCCTAAAAGGACGAATACCGTATGTTATGAGTTCCACCTTCACGCTTTTACATCAGGTTCCGAGGAAGTCAAATTCACAGATACAGATGAAGAATGGTGGTTACCAGCTGGGGGCTGGCGAGGAGGGAATGCAGAGTTAGGGTTACAAGGTCAAGAATTTCAAATGAGAAAGATGAAAAGATTCTGGAGGTGGATGGTGCTGATGGTTGCACAACAATGTGAGTGGACTCAGTTCAACTAAATAGCACACTTAAAAGTGGTTAGTCTGGTATATTTTATGGTATGTGCTTCTCACCATAATAAAAAACAAAGCCACTATCTTACGAGATAATGCCCAGAATCTTCTACATGGCATAAGAGATTACCATAAGCCCCAATTTATCTGTAATTTCTCATTTTCCACCATTTCTCCTCATTGCTTCTTCAGAAAAGCACTTTGACTCACCCTGCACCCTAACACCTAGGGTCGTGCCTCTGCAGATAGTTTGTTATGACTGTGGATGCTTTCAAGCCACTAAACACTTTGTTATTCCTCAAGTAACCAGGAGTAAACTTTCACACCTTTGTGCCTTTACATGAACAGCAGTCTTTCTTCCTCAAACAGCAATCCATCTACGTTTATTAAACACCTGCTAACTCCACAGGACCCAGAGTATCACCTTGTCTGTTTCCAAAGAGATGATCGTTTCCACCATCTTGCTCTTGTGGCATTTTACACAAGGCTCCAACCTCTATTTGACACAGATTGTTATTCATCCATGTATCTTTTTCCTGACCAGTCTGTGAACTCTGGGGAGAACATGTCCTTTTCTATCTGTTCTAGCACAGAGCTCAGTACACAGTGAAAGTTTCCCTAAATCTTTACAGAAAAACAAATGAGCAGCTAATTGTAATTTCCACAAACACCAGTCTCCCTTGATTGGCCCTTACCCATGAGTACCCAGCTGGTAGATTTAAAGCCTCAGAAACTAGACTCAATTCTGCTGGGTCCAGGAAACAACCCTGAAAGGTGGGTGGGGGCTACACTAGCCAATTCGGGTGTGGGAAGAAAACCTGGGCTTAATAACCCTGTGCCAATTATTTCTCCCCTGAAGATCCAAGGAACCCTGAGAGCCTCAGTTCACAAACCTAACAATCCAGTTGAAACAGACTTCAGCGACAACAGCGGTAGCATTTAACGGCAGAGAGGCACTAGAGCCCAGCTTCCCACCTCTCTGACACCAGGCTGTCATCTGCCACAGAACCCCCAGACTGAGGGTCGGGGGCTCCAGGTTAACACCCACTTGTAGCATCAACTGGTTGGACAGGGTGTGAAATTAGCCTCTCAGGACAGGAGTAAGGCGCAAATGAGAAAATGGATTAGCGGCAAAATTCAAAGCGAGGCGAGATGGTATAGGGAAAATTGGGGAATCTAGAGAAGTGGGTTCCGTCCCGGCATCTCTCTGGGCCTCAGTTTTCTCATCTGCAAATGTAGGCGCAGGCGGGTTGACTGCCCACTCCGGACCCTGACGCCCTTCTCGGGGCTCCAGCGCAGAGACCCAGGTCCTGGGGCAAGAGACGAGGGAACTCGCGTTACCGTCCTGCAGCAACGCTGTCTTCTCTGCAGCCCGCAGACTTTCCAACCAACCAGTCACCGCCATCTTCACTAGGCCAGGCCGCGCGCTCGGCCGCTGCCATGGTAACTCTTCCAGTGAGGGTCACTTCCGGCTGACCCGGAAGGGGTTTTGGCATTTGCCATTCCCTCCCGGTCCCTTATCAGTTCCTATTGGCTACTCCTGGTAAGTGGCTCTTTGCCGGCTTAGTGCTAGGCCAGAAGTTGAGCCCATGCGGGACCCGAACCTGTGAGTGGACACCAGCCCTCTTCTGACTCGCAGCAGGGAGGCCCTAGCCCGCGCCAGCTGCGCTCGCGGCGGCCGCCCGCACCTGCACTGGTGTTCGCATCCAGCTGCGAGGCTGAAGCTCCCCAGTCCCAGAGGGCACCCCACACTTGCAGCGGCTGGGCCGCGCCCCATCTATCTGCAGCTGCGCGCCGGCACCCAACAGAGAGACGGGGGCGGTGTTCCCAGTGTCCCAGTGAAGCCCTCCTGTTTCCCGGCTCTGTGAGAGGATTGTGTGGGGTTTCTGTGGGATGCGCACCCGGCTCCCTCTTCTGGGACAGGTAGACTTTCCTGATGCTGTGGGCCCGTTTTCGAATCTGGCATCTCTGGCCTTTGGAAGTATGATCAGCTGGGGCAGACACTGAGCCGGGTGTCAGAGCGACCCTTCTGAAAAATATATCGTTTCCTCCCCCAGGAGCGCCACTCTTTCGCTCGCCTTCCCCAGTACTCTTACCTTTGAAAGGCTGCTGAGCATAGAGGTAGACTTAAGGCACAGAAATGCAGTTGGATTTTCAGAGACTCTTGGGACCTCCTAGGCTGCCGTCCCTGAAGCATGATCAGTAGAGAGACCCCCATCTCTGTAGGCAAGGGTTGGGAGATTCAATTTTGAATTTCTCCATATCTGCCCTGACCAACCTGTAGGCAAAAGATCCAGGATCCAGTCATACTTCAATGGACCCCAGGGGCATCCTGAAAGCATTTCCCAAGAGAAAGAAAATACATGCCAACCCACCATCAAATGCACCTGCAAAGATTCCCAAGCGGCAAGAGAGAGAGGAAGCAGGAGGTGAGCTGCTACACCCTCAGAACTCATGACTCCAACCCTTGACCCTCCCATTGTCCAGCACTACATTGTTCCTGTCAGAACCAGACACTGGAATTAATGCCGTCTGTCCAGGGTGGACAGGTTGCTTTGCACCTGCTTTTACTAGCCCTGGTCACCTGTCTTTGACTTTCTGTGTTATCTTCTTCCCCACCTTTTGACTTCAACAAGTCAGAAAATTCTCCTTGGTCCCTGGAAATGACCAGTAGAATTCTTTGCTCCCCCAAGAGGTTGTACTAAGGGCAGAAGAAATCCCTTTGGTATCCTTGTTTTAAGTTGTTTTGCAATCAAATTGACAAACAGATGGCTGAAGTAGTGACACATGACTGTACTCCTAGCCCCTTGGGAGAAAAGACAGGAAGATGGAAAGTTCAAAGACAGCCTGAACAACATAGTGAGGTCTCATCTGAAAAACCACATAGATGGCTGAGACTATGGTGGATGGGAGTAGGGATCAGTTCTGCAGTTTGTGGAATAAGGAAACATGCCTTCTTGAAAGAATGAATGGTAAAGCAAAGTAGTTCAAGGCAGAGGGAAGAGGAATGCATTTACTCATTTATTTAGCAAATATTTATAGGTTACCAACAATGGACCAGGTTGCAGTAGGAAACAAGACGTGTAAAAATGTTTATGCTTTGTTTTCAAGCGATGACTCATGAAGAAATTGGGCTGTGTACCTGTCATAGAACTTCCAGAAGGCAGGTTGTTTGGATCAAAGAAAATGATTGTCTGGGGGAGAAAGGTCTGAAAATGGTTCATTCTGATCATACCTAAGAGTTGTAAAAATAAGGCACATGGATGTCCCCTCCACAGAATGGCTGAGTTCCCTGAGAGCCCATGTTGTGCCCACTGGTATTGGACGGGCCCGGGCAGAACTCTTTGAGAAGCAGATTATCCAGCATGGTGGGCAGATATGCCCTGCCCAGGCCCCGGGTGTCACACACATTGTGGTGGATGAAGCCATGGACTGTGAGCGGGCCCTCCGCCTCCTCAGATTGCCTCAGCTGCCCCCCGGTGCTCAGCTGGTGAAGTCAACCTGGCTGAGCTTGTGCCTGCAGGAGAGAAGGCTGGTGGACACAGCTGGCTTCTGTATCTTTATCCCCAGCAGGTGAGCTGGTCTTCGTCTTCTCTCAAATGTTCTGTGGCAGCATCTTTAGCTTTTTCTTGAGTTATTCAGAATAAGTATTGCTTTTAAAACTGAACACATTGGAAAACCAAGCGTTTGGAGTAGAGAAGGGTTAGGGTCAGAAATAGGGTGAGACCTTTGGTGTCTTCACCTCTGTCACCATCCTGCCAGGTACTTGAACCAATCGCAGTCCAGTCAGACAGACCAAGACTCTTCTGCTCCTTCTGCTTCTCCTGGAACCTGCGAAGTTCTGCTGAAAACGGCTGTCTGTCCTCCCAGTGGGGATGCATCTCTTCCCCAAAAGGCAGAAGAGGCATCAAGTACCCATATTCAGGTCAGAAGCCCCCTTAGCCCCAAAGCTCCCTTCCCCTGATCACAGAAATTCGAAGAGCCTAGAGGTTGTTCTGAAGGTCCCACACCCCGAGACAGGAAATCTCTTTGGAGATTTCATAAGAACCCATTTAGCTTTTCCCAGTACTCCTCATTACTCCATAACTCCATTCTCCAAGGCCACGGCCACCACTACACTGGGGCTCCTAGGGCCAAGCAGTGGAGAAGGCAGCATGGAACATGGCCCTGCTTCTAAGCATGTGCAATTCTGCTGCCAAGGCCCCTGCTTTATCCTTGAGTCTGACTGTGTCACTCCCTACACAGCTGACACCCACTTTTAAGGAGCCCCCTTCACGGAAGGAATAATTTATCTTCTCTTTTCCTTCCCTACCTCAAGCCCAGCTCTGACGATGAAACTAGTGACTCGGAAGGGCCCCAGGTTAGTGCAGCTGATCTGGAGGCTTTGATCAGTGGCCACTACCCTGCCACACCTGAGGAAAACAGTGGGCCTGGCCCAGCCACAGAAACCCTGGATAAGTGGGTCTGTGCACAATCCTCGAGCCAGAAGGTGACCAACCATAACCTTCACATCACAGAGAAGCTGGAAGTGCTGGCGAATGCCTACAACATTCAGGGAGACAAATGGAGAGCCCTGGGTTATGCCAAAGCCATCAATGCCCTCAAGAGCTTCCACAAGCCTGTCAGCTCCTACCAGGTACGTGGGGGCCAGAGTATGTGTCAGGGTTATCTTCTCTTTACTAGCCACCAGCCAACAATGGGCTTGGAGTCTTGTGGTTAAGATTTTATGACAGCTAGCTGCCGTAGTCACTTTATCACTGCTGAGACACAGTACCCAACACCTGCAAGTTAAAGAAAGAGGGAGGTGTGTTGACTCAGAGTTACTTTCATGGCCCACTGGCTCCAGGGCAGAAACAGACGGCTCAGGACATAACAGAGGAAACAGTGCTCACATCTTGGCGGCTGGAAGCAGAGAGAGAAGGGACAAGTCAGGGAACAATGAAACCAGTGACATGGAAGGGCCCCAGGTTACTGCAGCTGATCTGGAAGCTCTGATCAGTGGCCACTACACTGCCACACCTGAGGAAAACAGTGGGCCCAGCCACTCCCGGACATGTCAGGGAGAAAAATGTAGCCTTCTAGGTCATGCCCTCACCTCTTCCAGCCAGACCCAGCAGCTTCCATTTTGCTTGTGTCCTGACAGCAGCTCAGTGTCCATGTGATCCGATCACCTTACAAAGGCCTTGCCCCTGAGTGCATGAGCCTTTTGGGGAACATTTAGATACAAAGCATAATAGTCAGCCCCTGACTCCAAAAGACTCATAGCCATCAATTTAGGCAAAATGCATGTAGTCTGTAAGAGTCATCAAAGTGTTAGTGGCCCCAGCATTACTGAAAAGTCCAAGTCCAAAGTCTCTTCTGAGATTCAAGGCAAACCTTAGCTGTGAACCCCTTTAAAAATCAAAATGAAAGTTAAATACTGCAGACATAAAATGGCACAGAGTAAATATTTCCACTCTAAAACTATTAGAGGAATAGAAATCAGACCAAAGCAAGACTGAAACCCAGCAGGGAAAGCATTAAATCCGATAGGTCTGTGTCTAGCACTTGTGGCGAGTTTTGGCAACATATAAATTCCAAAAGGCATGGTATGACATTGTCTTTTGTAGCCCTCATGGCCACTCTCAGGACGGCTTTGCACACCTGTGGCTTTCCTCTGCAGATAGTCCATGTTCTGGATTTTCCAACCTCCTGGTATCTCCACTGCATTTTCAGCTTCATTCTCACAACTTTCTACACTGCCCTTTCAGGGCACACTCCTGACCTTTTAGTCCTTCTCAAATCTAGGTGGATGCCTTCAGTCTTGGATGTAATTCTTACATCATGCTCATTAAACCCTAACCATATGGATAATGCCAAGATCTGCTGCTAGCTCAAGCAGTAGCCAGGCCCCTTAAATCATGACTGCAGAAGCCGTTATGTGCCTGAATGACTGAGCACTGTCAGTCAGTCTCAGAGAACCAGTTTCCTAGTCTGGCCTTCTTTTTTTTTTTTTTTTTGGCTTTTTCCTTTTTATCAGTGCTGGGTATCGAACTCACGACTGCCTGCTTGCAAGGCAGGCACTTATGCCGCTGAGCTAAATCCCCAGCCCCTAGTGTGGCCTTCTTAAGCAGCTGACCTTGGGGCTTTCTTCTCTCTCTCTCTCTCACTCTTTTTTTTTTTTCCCATCTTTTTGAGACAGAGTCTCACTATGCAGTTTAGGCTGGCCTTGAACTCACTTTGTAGCCCAGGCTGGTCTCAAACTCTCAACAGTCCTGTCTCGGCCTCCCAAGTGCTGGGATTTCAGGTGTGTGTCACCTTGCCAGGCTTAGCGGCTTTCTTTTCAAAGCAAAGTCTTTCATTTTAGATAGTGGAGCTTATGAAGGACGAGGTATTGCTGATTTCTCTTATGCCCCAAAGCATCTTATCCTATTATCCTGATACAAAATACTTGACTTCACTTTAATGCTAATATTTTCAACAATCAAACTTTCCTTAGCCAAAAGTTTAGAGGCCTCACTTTTTACAGGCCTCAGCTTTCTAGAACCTACCTTTCTGGTTACCAGTAAAACTTTGGAAATTATTCAGCTCTGCTTTTTCTTTTGTCTTTTTTTTTGGTCTTTTTCCTTTTTATTGGTACTGGGGATCGAACCCAGGACTGCCTGCTTGCAAGGCAGGCGTTTATGCCGCTGAGCTAAATCCCCAGCCCTTCAGCTCTGCTTTTTAATCCTGCTTCTCACAGTATATATGGCTAAAATTCACCAATAGTACTCATACTACATCCTCAACAATGGGCTGCCTTCTGACTTTCTCTGCCACATTCATTAGTCCCATGCCCTTAGTCTCAGTCTTCTACAAAGTCCCAGGATATAAGCAAATGTAGACCAATTTTCTGCCATGATGTCAAGTTCAGCTGACAATGGAGTTTTGTTCCCAACTGAAACTTCCTGAGCCTAGCCTTTACCATCTGCATTCCTGTCAGAATGTCCGTCTTCTGAACTTCAACCAGAGCCAAACTTGGCTTACAGCATTCTAAGCTTTCCCTAGCCATCATTTCTATTTCCAAACTCCCCCTGCAAATGAGGTCCAATGGCTTCTACTCAGGCATCGCCACAGCAATGACCTTGTTTCTCCGGCAACAAAGTCTGTCTTTAGCCATTTTCTCATGGCTGTAACCCAATACCTGATACCTACAACTTATAAGAAGAGTTGGCTCACAGTCACAGTTCATGGCCTGCTGGATTCAGGGCAGTAATAGGTGGTAGAGGGGCCCAGTAGAGGAAACCCGCTCACTGCATGACAACCAAGAAGCAGAGAAAGGAGGAACAAGCCAGGAAGGAAACACCCACTTCCAGGTCATGCGCCATGACCCACTTGTTATCGACCCACCTCCCAACAGCAAGGGCCAGCGCTATCCCAGCCAGTCACTTCCAGAAGCCCCACCTCTGAGCACATGAGGCTCCTGGAGGACATCTAGACACAAACCACAACACTAGAACTTAGAAGAAGCAGAGTGGGAGTGCCGGAAGGCAGACTGCCACAATCTTGATAACTGGTAAAAGTGGATGGTGGGTGCTGGAGGGCTCATTATGCTGTTCTCAGACAGCCATCATCACTCTTGTATGATTCTAGGCAAGGCACATAAACTCTGAGCATCAGTTTCCTCATCAGTAAAAACAGATTAACAGTAGTGACCCATGCTCTTGTGAGGAGGATGGAGATGGCTGCTGGAGCGTGGAACGTTCAGTCAATGCTGGCTCAGCAGTGTAATGCCAGTGACAGGGATGGTTTGATTAGTTAGGACTGTTTGTCTCTGTCCTGCCGGGAACCGGAAAGCGGGTTACCCAGCCCATGTCCCAGCCATGGGGCACTTCTGCCATTCCCAGGCCTTCTACAGCACACAGCTGCCAAGCAGACAGCTCCCAAAGGAGCCAGCTTTCCTGCTGCCATCACTACCCTACCTTTCTTCTCCTCCAGGAAGCCTGCAGCATCCCTGGGGTTGGGAAGCGGATGGCTGAGAAGATACAGGAGATCCTGGAGAGCGGGCATTTGCGGAAGCTGGACCACATCAGCGAGAGTGTGCCTGTCCTGCAGCTCTTCTCCAGCATCTGGGGAGCCGGCACCAAGACTGCCCAGATGTGGTACCATCAGGTTGTGGCCCTCTTGGTGCAGCTGTGTCTCAGAGCCCTGCCCCATAGTTCTTTTCTCCTGATACTCCAGTTTCCTCCTCTGCACTCCCATGGGATGAACCCAGGCTAATCAGAGACTGCTTGTCAAAAGGAACAGGCCCTACACAGGCTCTTTTCCTGGCTCCCTGGCTTGGTGCCCCCAAACTGCATACAGGAGCAGGAAGTATGTTTCTCTGCCCTGCAGAGCAGCATGGACCTTCTGGGGTAGCTCAGGTCTCCCGGCTATGTGGCCAGAGCAAAACCAGGCTCTGCCTAGGATCTCCTGGGGCCCAGGACCATCCCTGGCCCTGTGTTTCTGGAGTGTACTGTGCCCTTCTTGTCCTGCCTTTCCCAAAACCCCTAAGAAGGACCCACTCATTCCAGGACTGGCCTCACCTCAGGCCTCACATGGAAACGAGCCCAACAGAAGCACCCTGTGTCTTCTCGTTCACCCACTTCCTATCTCAGATCCTCATAAGCTTCCTCTTGTTGCCCTTTTCCAGGGCTTCCGGAGCCTGGAAGACATTCGCAACCTGGCCTCCCTGACTGCCCAGCAAGCCATTGGCCTGAAGCATTACAGTGACTTCCTGGAGCGCATGCCCAGAGACGAAGCTGCAGAGATTGAGCAGACAGTAAGCAAGGGTCCCAGAGCAGTGGGGAGATCCAGGCCCAGTGAATAAGGTTTTGGTCCAAACCCTAACCTGTCAGGTGGGAAGCCTAGCAGGCAGAGGACACTGGGTCGGGCACTAGAAATTGGGAGGGAGCAATTTGGGACCACAGCTGCAGGCCCAGGGGAGTGGATGGCTTTAGGGGAGAGTGGTAGCCCTGCCCCTCATTCAGAGTTCCCAGCATTGCAGTGTGGGTGCCGGGTGCTGTCAGGGCTGGAGGGTAAGCAAGTGTCGTAGTCCCAAGTAGTCCACGGGGTTGGCACAGGGTAGGCGGGGCTGGCAGAGGGACTCCATGCTTTCTGATGAGATCTCTGAGCACCTGATGAAAACAGCAGACTTTCTCTCTCTCTCTGTCTCTCTCTGTCTCTCTCTCTCTATCTCTCTCTCTCTCTCTCTTTCTCTCTCTCTCTCACACACACACACACACACACACACACACACACACACACACACACATACCCGCTCAGCAAAAGCTGTGTCTTTCTGTCCCTCTCTTGGAAGCCCACAGGCTGCTCAGATTGTGCTGGGTTGGTGTGAGGATTCGGGGCTGGTTGGACTGGTTGGGGTTATGGAAAGTGCCCTCAAGATGTAGTAAGGTTGGGCCTCAGGAACAGGAATTTTTTGGTATTAGTGGTTATTGAATTGAGATTTGTAATGAATAAGATTGGGCCAGGGGTTGGTTTGGAACTAGGTTACAGACTAAGTCTGTCAAATGTAGAGTGGAGACAAAGGTATTTTCAGGCTAGGCAGATCATTTGCTAGGGCCTGGGGTTAGCTGGCTTTGGCCAAAGGTCCTGATGGCAGGGTTCCCCCGGGGAACTGCCCCAGCTTAGCTCCATTTGCGGCCTTGGGAGCATGGCTTAGGTGCTAGAGGGATGGACAGGCCCCTTTGTCTGCCAGGCGTCAGGGCTGGTAATGACACAACACTGTCACTCAGCCGTGCAGTTCAGGCACGGAGAATGCCCTAGCCAGCCGGCAGCCCTGCCTGTTGGGACAGAAGAGGCTCCCCACATTTCCCGTCCCATGGGGCTGTAGCCTGAGGGATTTAATGGAATTACTATTACAGGCCTCCTCCTCCCATTCTCCTAGGAGGCCTAAGAGGGCTGGAGGGGATTAGCCCAGCCACCTGTCAGAGAAATTGAGGTGTCATGGGCAGTGCCCTGGCTGGTATCCAGGACCCCAGAAATCTGGGTCCTGGGCTGGAGGCTTCCAGGTTTGTTCTCAGGCTCCACTGGGCTGGTTCAGTCATCCCCTGTCCCTGCTCCTGTCTGAGGTGGGATGCGGACAGTGCTCAATTGGTCCCCTCCTTGTGTCCATCCCTTTTCTTTCCCACAGGTCCAGCTCTGACTCTGAGCCCCATTTGCTTGCAGGCTTGCTGCGTAGGCTCCAGCCCCACTCACCTCTTCTACCCTCGGCTCCAGGGCTGTACCCAGGCTGGGCTCCAGGAGCCGGCTGAGTGCTTCCCTGCATCTGCCCATCCCAGGTCCCAGGCGGAAGCTGCCGCGCTGAGGGGAGCGGTGCCTTCAATCCCGCAGGCTGGCAGCCTGGGCTCTCACTCTACTGCTGGCCCTGGCGCTCAGCCTGCAGCCCCCTGGCTCCAGAAAGGCCCTGTTCTTCGGGGAGACCCAGCCCCTCTTCCCCGCCTCTTCCAGGTCCGAGCAGCAGCCTACACCTGCAATCCTGGACTGTTATGTGTGGCGTGTGGCTCCTACCGCCGGGGGAAGCCAACCTGCGGAGACGTGGACGTGCTCATCACCCACCCCGACGGCAGGTCCCACCGGGGTGTCTTCAGTCGCCTCCTGGATGGACTTAGGCAGCAAGGTACACTCGCTGTCTTGGGTGCGCAGCTCGGGGGCCAGGGGCAGATCAGGGAGGAGGGCAGATTCTCACAGCACTCCGGCTTAGGTGATGGGCACCCCAGAGGGAGGCTGGGAGGAGGGAGGCAGGCTGGGGCAATGTCCTCCCAGCCCTCCCGTGCTGCCAGGGTTCCTCACAGATGACTTGGTGAGCCAGGAGGACAACGGCCAGCAACAGAAGTACCTGGGCGTGTGCCGGCTCCCGGGGCCCAGGCGGCGACACCGGCGCCTGGACATCATCGTGGTGCCCTATGGCGAGTTTGCCTGTGCCCTGCTCTACTTCACTGGCTCTGCCCACTTCAACCGCTCCATGCGGGCACTGGCCAAGACCAAGGGTATGAGCCTGTCGGAGCATGCCCTCAGCACAGTCATCCGCAACCCTCGGGGCTTGAAGGTGGGGCCTGGCCAAGTGTTGCCCACCCCCACAGAGAAGGACGTCTTCCGGCTCCTAGGCCTGCCCTACCGTGAGCCAGCTGAGCGTGACTGGTGACCCCCGGCCCCAGCTGAACCTTCCTGCTTCAGCCACCACCGGCTGTGCTATGCCATGGAACATGAGCCTGGGTTTGGGCCTGGGGAAAAGAGCCAGGCTGGCTCCAGGGTTCTAGGATCTCTCCTGCCTCACGGCCACCCCTTGTGGACTTCTGCATGTTTTGGGGTCCAGGGTGGGTCAGCCCAAGCCCCTACCACACACAGCCTTGTCCTCGGTGAGGCAGGAAAGGGTGGCTGGTTGGAGGCCAGCTTCCTGAGTGTCCTTCCCGCCCTGTGGAAGGACACTCCTCCCACCACCCTTTTAGTTGCTGCCCTGCAGCTGGAGCTGCTGGGAAGCGTGCCCCACTCTGCCTCAAGGCCCAGGGCCCAGTAAAGTATACTGGACATCAGCCTGCCTGGTGTGCGTGAGTACAGCCCCTCCACCCGTACCTCTTCCTCCTTGGCAGGAGAGAGAATGGTGCAAAATGGGACAGCCTAGAAACACCAGGGCCTAGTGCCCGGGAGGGCAGAGAAGCCTGCCTGGAGGAATGCAGGGGTTCTGGGATACCACTTGACATGGGCGATTCCCACCTAAACTTGGGCCCGGTGTGGGTGCCCACTGTGAGTGTGCTGGGTGTGAGGTGGGGATGCCAGAGCCCAGCCATGGTGCCTGGCTGGGAGTGCTGGCTAGCGCCAGTTTGTAATCCCAGCTGTTCAGGAGGCTGAAGCAGAAGGATTGAGAGTCTGGGCCCAGCCTTGGCAGTTTAGACAGACTCTATCAGAACGTACACAGAAGCACACATGAGGCCTGTGGCCCTCGCAGCCTGAGTGGGCCTCCAACTGAAGCCCAGATCCCAGCTGAGCCTGTCTGCAGGGGCTGTAGGGGCTGGAGAGCTGTTCCTCTTGGGGTCAGGAGGCCACATCCATGGCCAGAGCACTGGGCAGGGGCAAGCCTCTAGTGCAGACCTACTCCCCCTGGGAAGCCTCAGCGGCCTGGGACAGTTGGGAGAGGAGCTGGGCCCCACAGCTGGCTTATGAGGGCTTCTCATCCTGCCACTGCCCCAGCGAGGGTTGGGATCAGCAGAAGCCAAAGACTGGACTAAATCTCAGAGCTGTGTCTTCCTTGTTTTTCCCTCTTCATGTCCAGGCCTGAGGAGCAGGTACCTGCTAGGGGGAAGGGGGGCTGCTGTGTTGGGGATGGTAACCTGGCCGGATTAACTCTTCCCACACAGGAAACTTTCAGCCCACAGCACACCGGCCTCAGGCTGACCCTGTTCCTGACACCCTTCCCATCTGCCCTAACCTTTTACCTAACCTTTTACCTGAGAGACTCAGGGGTGTGCCCTCAAACCGAACCCCTGGCAAGGGCAACAGGAAATCATGGGGAGAGAGAGTGTGCCAGCCCTCCAGGGGCCCACACTGGAGTGGTACCCACTGGCTGCTTATCAGCCCTGGAGCCAGAGGGGAAGGAGCTCGGGGTTTGCAGAAAGGCTGCCTGGACGGGGAGAGGGTTGGATCCTAGGACCCAGACCACAGCATGTGCCTGTTAGGCCTGAGCTGACTGTCAGCCCCACCCTGTCAGAGCCCTTATGGGACCTGAGTCCTGTCCAGCTGCTGGTCCCCCACAAAGCTACCTCTCAGCTACCACCTGATCCCACTGAGGAGGATGCAGGCACCAAGCCTGCTTCCTACCCTGCCCAGTCCCTCCTCACTCTGTGCTTGAGCCAGGACTGTCCCTGGCCAGGCCGCACAGATAGTGGGCAGAACAGTGGTCTCCAGCATGTCCCTGCCTGCGTCCCCATAGCCGGTAAATATGCTGCTTTTCTTGGCTAGAGAGACGCAGCTTCGGTTAGAGTTAAGCATCGAGATGAGGTGATTCTCTTGATGATCTGGTGGACTGGGGTAAAAAGGAGTCTGGGAGCCCAGTGGGGTAGGGGAGACAGACTGGAGAATGATGTTCTTGGCTTGCCAGTGGAGAAAGTGGGCGAGCAGCCTGGGTGTGCAGTTCATGGCAGAGGGAGAAGACACAGGCCTCATTCCACTTGAATTTCCAGAAGGGACACCGGCCCATGATACTTGGTTCATTCAAGTGACACCTGTGTCTGACTTTGGATCCATAGACCTGTGAGATGGTGACTTCCTGTTGTCAGCCACTAAGCTCGTGGCGGTGTCGCCGCCGCCCCAGTGCTGTACCACCAGGAGGGCTGCAGCGGGCATGTGTCCCACTGGGGTCTTAGAGCCTCGGAAGTGCAGCTGCTGCAGCAAGGGGACACCTCCCTCATGCCTGGGGGAGGGAAAAAGGCAGGCAGTGAGCCTCGGGCTCTGCCCTCTCTTCTGGCTGCCTCAGGCCCGGCCTATACCTCTGATAGTTTCAGTGGTCCTCTGACCCTGTACCCCAGGTACATGTCCTCCCTGGGGTGCTCTGTCCCAGCTTGACTCTGGCAGCCAGCAGCCTGATCTCTTTCTAAGGTTGGCCACAGCCTTGCCCTGAAAGGAGAACAGGTCTGTACCTAGGAGCTGGCTACCTGTAGAGGCTATGGGCACAGGGCCAGGGCCTCCCAGCCCCATCCAGTGTGGGTACTGCAAGGTCCCCACCTCACCATGTCCTGTTACTGCAGAGTCGTGGTCTCCCTGCTGCTGTACAGAGAATGGGGTTTGCAGGCCTGGCCTCAGCCCTCAGTCCCCCCACTCAGGGAGACTCGTGTGGAGGCCACAGCGTAGGATCACTTGGGCTCAGTGCAACCCAGAAGAAGCTCAGCACCAAGTCCTCTGCCAGTGTCCACTCTGCCCTGCAGAGGACACTGAGCAGCCCTGGTTCTGAGCTGTGCTGCAGATCGGAGCCAGATCTCACCGGCACTCTTTTCCCCACTGGCAGCCAGGGCTGAGGTTGAGTCTGAAGCAGACCTGGACGAGTCATCCCTGGAGTGCCCCAGGAGTTCTTGAGGGTGATGCCACTGGAGGACGAGCCAGAGCCAGGACCCGACAGCCATCCCTCATTATTTGAGTGGGCCTGCTGGACCAGCGCCTGGCCCTGGCCCACCATCTTTGCCCTTCCCTGACATCCTCATGTACCCACAAGCGGGGGTGGCCTGGGAATGTGCCTGTGCTTGGCTGCCCGGTCATCTGTGTGCCCAGTGTCTCTGGGCCCTGTGTCTGTGTGTCCATCCAGGCCTCAGATGTGGGTCTCTGCATCATCCAGGGCTCAGGCAGGCCGAGAGCAGGGTGTGGGTCCCTAGCAGTGTGGGTGGGGACTGTGGGAGGTGGAGAAACCTGGCTGAGCGGACTCCAGGCCCTGTGTCCACAGAGGAGGCCCCGGGGTGAGCCGCTTGCGTCAGCCTTGAGCGGCCATCAATAGCATGCGGTTAATTAATTTGATGGGAACAGCAGGGACCGCCGTTTGCATTTAGTGAAGTTCCAGGAACTTCCAACCTCATCTTCATAATTGGCCTCATAAATTGTAAGAAAGAGAGAGATCAGCAAAGCAGGAGGGAGGAGGGGCTGCCCCGTCCGTCCTTATTTAATTTTATTGCTGAAATTCATCTTTTTAGCCTCCTCCTCCTGAATCGGCTTCTCCCTGCTGGATTTGCCTAATCATGATAAATTAATATTCATTTCCCCACCTCTTGCCCAGCTCCCGCACTTGGATGGAATTGGGGAGGGTCTCCTTCCAGCCCCTCTGCTGGTCTGGGCAAGAGATCCCCAAAGAGGAGCCATGTGCTGAATGGAGAGGGGCCTCTGGGGAACAGAAGGAGTGCCTGGGAGGAAGATTGGGCTCCATTTCCTTCAGGGAGATGACCCAGGAGGGTCTGGGGAGCTGAGATCAACTACCCTGCCCAGCAAGGCTGGTGGAAGGCCCCAGAAAAGCCTGGAAGACCTTCTGGAGACCCAGAGGCTGGCACTGGGGCCACACAGGGTGCCTTTGGGAGAAGGGACTGAGGCGAAAGGTCAGCACCCCCGTGATCACTCTCCCATAGCCTTGCTGCAGTGGCTGGGCCCTGTGCTGCATGAGAGTTGTCGGGGAGCTCCTTACTGGCAGAAGCATGGCCCTCAGTGCTGAGGTTTAGGGTTCCTGTCCTCCTGCATCACAGTTCTGTGTGACCCTGGAGGAATTTCCAGTTCATTCAGCCCCTTGTCCCATTTACAGATGAGGAAGCAGGGCCTGAGGCTGGTGTGACTGTGCAGGGTATCAGAGGCCGAGAGAGCTGGTTCTAGAAGGGATGCTATCCCCCACCTCAGGGCAGGGTACAGGGTAGGACACACAGCATGGCCCTAGCGCTTGGGGTCCAGCTCCCTCCACCTCCCTTTGGGTGTGGATGAAGCCATCAGCCTTGAGCCCCTAGGGGTGATGCCTTCAGGTATGTTGGAGCAAAGGGGTGCTCTGGGCCAGCCTGGTGTAGCCCTGTAGAGGCCCAGGGGGCTTTCCTGAGCTGGCAGCAGAAGGGTGAGAGAGGGTAGCTGAGGAGCAGACCAGGTTGCCAGCCAGCAAGGAAGCAGGGCTTGCAGTCCTGCAACCCCCTGAGACAAGTCTGCCTGCTGTGGCCTGAGAGTGGAAGCCATGCTTCCCAGGAGGCCAGAGGACAGCCCTGGATTTCTGCACGCAGGACCCGGGCGGCCGGTGGGGGGGTGGTGGTGGTCACTGCTCACAAACCTGCCAACACCTCGCCCTACAGAAGCAGGTGTGGCTCCTGAAAGACTGCTGCGGAGTTTGGGGAGCTGAGTTCTGCAACAGACAGGCGGGTGCCAGCGTGGAGGGCTAGGTAGCTCCTAGGGCAAAGCCGGAAGTCTGAGGCTCCAAATCCACTGCAGCTGCTTCCCAGGTGCTGAAGCCCTCACTGCGGCCTTCCGTTTTACCTGGGGAAGTGTTTCTTCCCCCATCGGTGCCCCTTGCCCAGTAGAGTCTGGACCCCGGGTTATGGGGAGCCGCGCGCTGATCTGTGCAGTGTGGGGGGCCGGCTGCCCGCGGTGCAGGCTGACCCTCCAGCCCCGCAGGCTGCTGCTCTGCGCCTTTGAAACTCTGCACGCCCGGGGCCTGGGAAGATGCTTTTGGTCCCCACTGGAGGGCGCCAACTTCGTCGGACGTTGGAGAAACCGATTAACACTGAGGGTTAAGGAGGGAGCCCCGGAAAGAGACCGGGGTTAGCTGCATAGTAGGTCGGGTTTATTTCAAGAAAGCTTTAGCAACATTTATGGATTTGACAGCTGATCCTGGTCAGCCCACGCTTAGCCTAGCTCTGCGCGTAGATCGTGCCACTTCCAAGCAGCAGGCGTGTCCTCGTGAGGCACAGAGAGGTACTCTCACTCGCCCTAGGTCACACAGCGTGCGAGGTTCCGAGTTGGGTTTCACTCCGGTTTCTGTAAGTCAGAAAGCCTAGCTGGCCTCGCTGGCCTCGCTCTGGGAGTGGCTGCAGCT